GATCATGTGACTGATGCAAGCCAGATCCTTTTATTTAGCAAAACTGTGATTAATAGTTAAATATTATTGTTGAGGGGCACAGACAGGACTCTGCACGAACACACACATTAAAAAAAATAATAATTTTAAAAAGTTGCCTCAACAAAAGGGCACTTTGGGCACCCATCAGGAAAGGGGCGGGTGCTCAAGCCCCTCTAGCCCCCCCCCTCTGCACGTGCCTGCACTACAGGTAGAATATCGCGTGGGTGCAACACAACTGAAGATTTTAAGGCGTTTTGAAGATCACATTTTGGCTGTTTCACACAACACTGTTCGGCTTATTTGTGTGACTCGTGGTCTCTGGGTCAGCCACAGAGACCACGTAAAGTTTGTTGGTCTGAGAGACGCACCGCTGAGTCGTACCTGTCCCCTACTTTCTCCTCAGTCCAACCAATCAGTGGACGCTGCAGCGCCACCTTTAGTTCAGTGCGTAATATCTGCATGGGTAAACTGCTAAGAGTGCAACAGCTCAAATGAGTCACTCCAGTATATGCAGTTGGTTGAGGCTGGAAGAGTTGTACCTCACTGAGTTTCTCTGGTTTGCTATTTTACATTACAGCTAGGTCACTACAGGTCACTACTCATGCATACCATGCATACTTCACAAACAATGAAAATGGTTGAGATGTTAGTGGATAAGTGGATATGCTTTTAAATGCTGTGTTGTAGGTCAAAGCAACTGGGGTCCAAACATCTGTCAGTCTAGAATTGTCCTGCTCAGAGCCCAGACCTGAACGTTATTGAAGCGGTGTGGGATCATCTTGACAGTGAACATCCAAAGAAGAGCTTTGAACGTCCTTCAAGAACCCTTGGAGAACTATTCCTGAAGAAGAAAGCTGCCTAAGAGAGTTTAGATTGACTTTCAAGCTCATTACAATTGTGAAAACTCTGTTTTTGCCCTATATACTCTATGTTCTTGTTTGTACAAAAATCACTGGACCTATTTTTCAGTTTCCAATCAAAATATAAAGAAATAACGGGTGGCTCTTTGCTTTTGCACAATGCTTTATTTATAAATCTGTATTATTTCTAAGGTGGCATATAAACACAAGAAAATTTATGTGACAGGAAAGGTTAGCTCCTTTTGAAAAAGGCAGCTGAAGCACATGTTCAGATCACACTCCTGCAGATCAGTTCTGGAGGCATTTGTACAAAGTTAGACTGATTTGTGGTTTTTCCTATGTCTAAAGACAAGGTAGCATGTAACACTAAAACAATTCTGTTGTGAGAGTTGCATCCAAAGCATGATCAAATAGGCCAACACCCCCACTCCTTCACTTCATCTGTCAAAAGATATGCTGTCTAATAGACCTCTCACAGGATATGTGTCTCTAAATCACTCCTCAGGAGGGGAAACAAGGCCAAATGCTTCGAGTGGGTTTCATGACCGTAACAGAAGGGTGTATGTAAGGATACTGCCAGAAGGGAGAATGACACCACAGGATATAAAATCATTTTCAGGCCACATAGATGTTTTGTCTCCAAAGAAAACTCTTTTGCAACTGCCTGCGAGAAAGCGTGTGAGTCTGCCAGTCGTCGCACATCATTTTCCTTTACAATTTTCCCGGTGAATAGCTATTCATGAACAGGGCAAAGACCACATGGCTCTACGTGAGGAGAAATAAATCTACACCATCGCTCCACTGTTATTCTATATATAAAAAGCTTTATCGTGGAGTCAAACCACACACATAAACACACACTCACACACAAAGAGTCCTCTTCAAACAATGACGAAGTGAACATAAGCTGCCAATTCTCTCAAAAGCAATATTTGAACAAACCACAGCAAACGGCAAGAGAACTTTTTTTTTTTTCAATTTAACTGGAGATCACGAGGGAACCTTGAGAGTGTACGTATGTGAGCGAGTACGTGAAGCCACAACTCAAAAATCCAATAACAATCACAGCTTTGCAGCTGTGATCTGTGATGATGGGTGTTGTGTCAGCCAGCCGTGCACGGTGAGAAACTTCAAAAGAAGTTTATACGTAATCTTTGTTTGTTCATTTTTTGCTAGTTACAAAGAAGGAAAGCATAGGGTATTTATTTTCAGCTTCCCAAATAAAATAGTGACCTCACCTTGGTGGTTATTTGAGACTCAGACATGCTCTCAACCTTTCCATGAGTCTTTCTATCTAAGCCAATGAATGGAGCTTTTTCAGTTTTTAGATTTTCAAGGAATTGTGTGCAGGGTTCAGCTTCAGTATAACACCGATACATTCTGTGGTTTTTTGTCAACACGTGTGAATAATATACCATTAATGTTTACGCATGAACTATTTAAATACATAAGTCTGTCAAATTTGTTTCTACGTGTGCAAAAATGTGTGTTTCAAAAACATTTCATCATGAAAACATGTCAGGCTGTAAAACATGACTGTGCATCACCCAGAAAACTTCACCCAGGGTGACAGTAATAAAATAATGAAAATATATGTCTCAACAGTTCTGCATCATTTCGAGTAAAACTGCATAATTTAGTGTTACTTACTAAAGTAAGAAAGGCCATGAGGTTTTCTTCTCCTTCTTTCACTTACTCCCTTTAGGGGTCACCACAACAGATCAGTTGCCTCTCTTTTAACCTATGCACAACATCCTCTACACCCTCTTTCAAAAGTACTTCCTATCTCCTTTTACTACCCAAATGGACACATACTTCACCATAATGTGTTCTTACCCTGTTGTTTTATGTGGGTCTTACAAATGAGAACAACCTTCATTACAAAGATATTGTTGCAAGATGTTATGAACGAATCTGTAATTGACACAGGTGGATGGTTCGAAACTGTAAGCAAAGTGCCAAAACTATGGCTCCGTCCTAAACTCTTTACGCAGCCCTGCTACGAGCCGAGCCGCACTTATTATACTGGCGTGTTCATGAAACATATCAGAAATGATCTAAACTGAGTTTTTTATCTCAGAATTGCGCAGAGACTTTTCTCTATTGAGTCTGTTACAAACACAGTGAGATGTCTGTCAGAATATAGCTATAAATGGGACTGTGTCAGTGTAGTAGACTAATATCTGAGCCATGTGCACATTTACCCAGGTGGCACAGTAACGGTACTTTAATTATCACAGGAACTATCCATGATCAATCAAATAATGTTAGGTGTTTTTCTACACATCTTACAGGTCTTCTGTTAAACACAGATTTCAGGTTCATTTGGTGAAGCTGTTAAAAACAATGCAGCTTTCCTATGGATAAAGCTCCACCTGAGTCTCAGCCCCTGGGACCTCACACACAGTGCCCAGAGACGTCTATCTACACCTTATATATATATAAAAAAAATTGATCATCCATCAATTCTTCCCATTTGTGAATTACATAATTATTTTATTAAAAATTAATATTTTTATTAGTAATTGCCTTATTATTTTTGTAATATTTTTTATTAGGCCTCCATCACTCATTCTCACTTGGGACTTCCTTTATAGAGTTTGCTGGCTTTGAGCTGTTTCTGGTTATCACTGAAGTGAAATGGCTGGGTTTTTATATATAAACTATAGAAAACACTGAATGGATAAACCTGTGATTGCAGCATTACAATAATTTACCTCTAAAAGCCTGTAAAATTAAATACATCTTCTTTTCTTATATTTACCTGTTGAAAAATGATACAGTCTGCTTTCTATTTCTAGAGCTCCCTTCCTAAGCATTTTAAGAACAGCTCTTATTGGCTGTTTAGCAGATAATTCCAGTCACTTCACTGAGTTAGGAACCTTCCTAAACAAAAAACATCCATGAATCTCCTCTATGCTTGTTCTCTTTTCCTCCTGCCTGGCAGCTTCATCTTCAACATGCTTTACCCAACGCATCCACTATCCCTCCTCTGCACATGCCCAAACCCTCTCAACCCTGCCTCTCTAACATTGTCTCCACAAAGGCAATGATGTTCAAGCCCACTCTTTAGAACTCAGCCTTGCAAAG